TCCTGTCCCTCAATCCTCCTCTTTTGAACTGAATCACAAAAAAGACCAAGTGTGGAGAGAGGGGGTGCAGGGCATACAAGGGGGCAGACCAGGCAGGGCCTGGGAAGGTGGGCAGCTGTGTGGGACAGGGTAGAGGGAAGGGCAAAGTCAGGGGGATAGCCAGGGCAGGCCTGGGCGCGGTCCTGGGCAGGGTCCTGGGCAGTGGGCATGCACGTGGATCTGGCCATCAGGCATTCTTGGACACTCAAGACCAGAGCTACCTGAGCTCTGGGTTCCAGCTGGAGACAGAGAGACAGCCCAGGTTCCCAGAATTGACAGAGGGTCTCAGGACTAGGGCTACCAGGGACCCTGGGCACTCAGCCGACTGCGAAGCAGCAGTGTAGGACTCAATCCTTCTCATTCACCCCCGTGAACCTGGTGCAGGCTTAATACATTTTCTTGGTGTTGAGTCCTAAACTCAGAGTGCCACAGTCCTGGTAGAGCGGAAAGTCCTGTCAAGAGCACCTTCAAGGCCACAGCTGGTGTTGTAGATGCAGAGCCCATGACCAACACCACCACCCTGCCAGAGCTGTGCGTCCTTCTTCGCCTTTCCTCCCTTCTCCTCAGACGGGACCATGGTATTGTCTTTGCAGCTAAGGGAGGGGGACAGAGGAGAGATTGGTGACCTGCCAGGACATAACTCTCTTTAGGAGGGAGTCAGAAGATGAAGACATCTTGAGTTCTGGCTGCTCTGTCCAGGAAGGCCCTTTTCCTGGCCAGAGATGGTTCCCCCAGTTGCCAACTGCTGCAGATGGGAGGCTTCCTGTGGACGAAGGAGCCTGAGGCTGGGAGGGAAAAGCCTTGGTTCTACTCCTGGCTCTGCCCCAACTCTCTATGTGACCTTGAGCATGATCTTGAACATAAGGTCCTCTCTGGCCTCAGTGTATCCAGTGAGGGCCTGGACCCAAACAGCTTGGACAGAGATTCCATCCATGATCTATCCCAGTCTCCGGTAGGACCTCCTCTCTCTCTGTCTCGGTCCATCTTAGCTTTTGTCTCGGGATAGGAAGGAGGCCAGGCACAGCAAGAACGCCACAGGCTGCAGATCCCTCCCTGCCTGGAAGCAGCATCCTCTATGCCCAAGCTTTGCTCTCCAGCTTTGGAATTCCCAGAGAGGCAAAAAGCTGAGAAGGCCCTTAAGATCACCCCAGTCAGGGAATCTGAGACCAGAGAGGTTTGGCAGATGGCTCAAGGTCACACAGCAAACCATGCATAGGGTCCCCTGAAGTCCAGACCAGGGCTCTCTCTACTGCCCACCCTGCCGCCCGGAATAATGGACCTGGGCACTGGTTTACCTTGACACCTCAAGCCTCTACATGGGGAGCCTACAATCCTTTCTGCTCTCAGGGACTCAGTTTCTTTTCCTATCAAGCTGAAAAATGGGGTAGACCAGATGTCTCTAGGAGTCCCTCCACCCCAACACTGAGGCGTTAGTATTGCTGCCTCAGCCCTTTCTTCACAAAGGGTGAGGCCACCCAGGCCAGGAAGTCCTACCAAGTCACAACCCTCACCCAGCCCTGTCCCACCCCAGACCCCAGGGCTGGGTTTTACCCAGAACTACAGGCTCAGGCCCAGCTCCCCCTTGAAGATCTGGAATTTTCGTACCATAAAAGGGCAAGTGTGCCTCTCTCGGTCCCTGCTGCCAGCCTCGCTGGGGGAAAGGCTAAGCTATTTATAGAAAACTCAAGGGTTTGCTCCTGAACTCAAGATGGAGCCTGCACCAGGCAGCCCCCTCCCCGTTGCCCTCGCCCACCTTCTCTCTTCCTTCCCTTTGTCTTCCTCTCTCTGTCTCTCTGTCTTGCTCTGTCGCTCCATCAGCCTCCCTTCCTTTGTCCTCTCTCTTCTTTCCCCCTTGCTTCTCCCTTCTGCCCAGATCTCCTCAGAGTCCCCTCCCCTCCTCCGTTCCCTCCCTTGGACCTTGTTTTTGGTGGTTGGGGAAAGAAACATATCTGCACCCCCACTCCCTTCTTAAACACTATTTACAACATAAATTCCAAACATCCGCCATCTGGTTCTGGGAAGGGCCAAAAGATATTTGGAAAAGGAAGTCATGATTATTCCACGTTCAAAGCCAAAGGAACTTAAAGGCTCTCCTCTCTCCCTCCTTCCTGCGGGGCCCCTCTGCTAAGATCTGAGCTGTTAGGATCCCTCAGGGAGTAGAAGGGGCCAGTCCCAGCGGGGCCTCCGACAGACAGCATCGCCTTCAGCTCCATGCTTCCTCTCTCCATGCCTCAGTCTCCTCTTCTGAACAACAGCATGAAACCAGCAGGAATGCTCAGAGACATCAAGTCCTGCTGGTCCAGGTCACTCGGGCTGCTTTGCACTGAGCAGCAGGGTGGGATGGGGGCAAAAGGAGTAAAAGGCAGCTAGGAGAGCTCTGGCCTCAACATGTACTGCCCCGTGTCTGTCTGTCTGTCCCTCTCTCTCTTACCAAGCAGATCTATGGGGGCCATTCATAGCAGGGGGATGAGGTGGGGTCAACCTTCCCCCCATATTTGACCCTGGGAGGACTCTGGACACCTAGAGTCCCATCCTCTCCCACCATCAGGATGAGGCCCAGAGAGGGGAAGACACTTATCTACCATCACACAGCACATCTGCAGGGGGCTGGGCTGAAGCTACTGCTCTTCCCACCCAACACGTTCCCAGAGAAACCAACATTTGTGTTATCCAGACGCATCACTCAGGCCCAGCCAGTGGGGACCCTGGAGCCCCCAGATCTTTGCAAAGTGGACAGGACAGAAGGGAGAACTAACTCCTTTATCGTGGGGTTTTGTTTTTTAAGCAAACAGACAACGTGCAAGGGAGAGATTCTGTGGGAAAGAGGCATAACAACAATGAGAACGAGACAGCCCCTCACTCCTGGACACATACAGCCCTTGCCAGGGCCGGCGTGGCCTCCGCTTTCTCTGCTCACAACCCCCTCCGAGTACAGACTCACACACACCTGACAAAGTGCCGAGAGATGCCGACTCAGGTTGTCACTCTGTCAAAATAACACCACAAACTGTCTGGTCATACATGGGAGCCGTGAAAATGCACGGTGGGCCACCTGGGGCAACTCCCGACCCTGACACTTAGGTGCCGTGAGACCCTGAAGGAGCGCTGTAACCTCCAGGAGCCTCAGCGTCCTCATCTGTAACAGGGAATAAAAGTGGCACCTGACTCACAGGTGATTGTAAGGAGAAGGTGAGAAGACCAACGCAGAACAAAGAGCTGTGCGAGTATGAAAGTGTCTGGGGAGTTAACTGTAGCTCCCAGTGTGTTAGCTGTTGCTTCATCACGCAGGGTAAGCCTGATGGGCGGTAGCTAGCATCACCGTCACTGCTTTCCCAGTTTTTGTTCTCCCTGAAGGTCAGGGTCATAGGGATACTGGTTCTTACTCTCCCAGAGTCCCGGCTACTTCAAGCAGGGCCTGCCTGAAGGGCTCAGGCAGGTCTGGCCCCTCTCTTCCCCTCTCTTCCCCTCATCACTCTTGCTTCCACCTCGAGCTGCATTCCCAGGGCTTGCTCAGAAGTCCCCAGGCAGTGACCTTCCCTGGGGAGGAAGTGGGGAGCGTGTGAGGCTGGTGAACTCGGCTGGGGCGTCAAGGGGATGGGAGGGCACTCTGGGAACAGAAAGCCCCGAGAAGCCACACGCAGAGCAGACACGGAACAGGCCCTACACGGTGGCTCCCACAAAAGCCTCCATGTCCTCTCCGGGTGCCACTGTGGGCCTTTGCCCCATCCTTCTCACCTCTCCCCGTCCCTGTGCACGGAGTGGTGTTGTCAGCCATTTATTGTGGGCTTACTGTGCACCAGCCACTGTGCTTGCACTTGACATTCTACTTCCATAACTGTGAGGTCGGAAGACAAGGCTCAGAGAGGTGACCCCTTGAGCTCTAAGATCATGCAGCTGGTGAGTGTTAGGGCGAGACTCCACTGCAGGGCAGCCCAGCTCCGGGGCCTGGGTCTTTTCTCTTCTTTCCAAACACAGTGGAAACCCTAGGGCCCTGGAGCCCAGGAAGCACATCAGCACTGGTATGTGCACTCGCATCGGGGAGCCAGGGAAGGTCACTGTGGCCAAGGAAGCCCCTCGGGAAAGAATATGTGGGTCCTCGCATCTGCCCGGAGCCCTCGCCTCAGCTCTCCCACAGTGGCGCCATCTGGCTGGCAGATGTGGCCCAGTCCTAGCCCCAGCCCCTCATGTTTCTTGGAAACGAGCAAGGCCAGGAAAGGGCATTAGGGCCTCTGCAATGACCATGGTGATGTGAGCCTGGTTTGGTGTCCACCGAGCCGGCCACTGCCCGAGTTCAGGAGACAGCTGGATTGAGCATGAACAGCCTGGGTTCAGGCTGGCCTCTGGCACTTGCCAGCAGATGGCCCTGGGCACATGGTGGAGCTTCTTTGAAGATCAGTAAGCAGGGAAGTTATTTCTGCCTCCAGTGGTGGTTGTGAGTGTCCTGGAGTCACGGGAGGGAATTTTGTGCAGGCTGCAAACCATGTGCAGCTGGAAGTGGTCACAGGTGGCCCAGGGCTGTCCCTTCAGTCTTGGCCACTGTGTTAACCCCAAGTTTTGATCTACCCCTAAATGGCTCTTTTCCAGTGTGTGAGGCCGGAGGTGGGGTCTGAGGGGCCTCTGGGAAATTTCCATTAGCCCCATTCTTTCACTGACGGGGCCTGGCTGTGCTTGGAGTGGGGTGGGGCGGGGGGGGATGCCTCCATCTCCTGGAGCTTGGAGCTGCTCAGGAGACCCCTTTTGAAAGCCAGGCGGGCAAAGTGGGAACAATGGCTGCCTGGGGCCTGAGAAGCAGGCTCTTGGAGGCCTGGAAACTCTCAGCAGGTTCAGCTGGACACTTCCAAGGGCTCAGCAGCAACCCAGATCCACCCTCAACCGCTCGGAGCCTGGCAGCCGGTCAGAACCCCCAAAGGCCACAGGGCACCCCAGCATCTGCTGACAGGTGGTACCTTTGTCCCTTTCAGGAAAGGACACGACACGGTCCGGCAGGCGCCATCCCTACTGCCCTGATGGTGAAGGAGCAAGTGCCCCAGCAGGGGCCTCCCAAGGCCCAGAGGAGGGCAGGCCACGGGGCCTGGAAGTGCAGCTGTGAGTGCTTCCCGCTGCGGGCCTCCAGCGCCCACCCACCCCGCCCCTCACCCCACTCAGACGGTGCCCCCGTGGCAGCCCCAATCCCTCAGGGCACTCCCCTCACCCCAGCCCTCAGAATGGCCAAGAAACCAGGTCTCAGTGGGGGAAGAGCTGACGAAAGGCCCCTACTGATTGGTGAGGGGTAGGCTGTTTGGGGCTGTTGGGTCCGGACTGCAGGAGAAAACAAGTGAGACCAACGGAGGAACAAACAGCCAGGGGCCCAATACCCACTCTGCCTCCAAACAAGCAGCGCGGAGCCTGCGTGCTGCGGAGGAGGCGGGACTGGGGGGAGGGGAGATGTTGCCTGTCTTCCCAGGAAAGGCACAGCAGGGTCGGACTCTGGGAACATGTAGACATGGGCGAGGGAACCCAGTGACGACAGAACCAGCGCACTGGGCTCTGACAGGGCCTGTGAGGTCGGGTGTATGCCCCGGTGACCACTGCAAAACCGCGGCAGTCGTTTTTACCATCCATCCTGTTCTCCCCATGCTTGCCAGTTTTCAGCACCCTGTGCACGGAGCAGGCAGGGTGGTGTACCAGCTCCCTCAGACAGGTGGACACACTGAGGCCCGGGGAGGCGAAGGAGCTAACTTAGAGTGGCACAGACAGCCCGCTGCAGACGGGTGTTCTGGCACCAAACCTCAGGACAATGGAGAAAGTGGAGGGAGGCTTGGAGGCGAGCAGAGGAGGCCAGGAGCCAACACTCCGGGGACGGGTGACAGGCCCAGGCCTGGCTTACATAACGCAGCACACCTGTTTGCCTCCACACGCCTCACACGTGTGTGCAAACGTGCAGCCCAGCACGTCTCACACACCCGGCCCTCTCTCCCGAGCCAGCGAGCCCCCGAGACTGCGTCTAAACAAATTGGATTAGGAGGGCCACAGGCGCCTCCTCCCTCGACTGTCCTGCTCAGACACTGAGCAGGCCTGCAGAGCTGCCAGCTGCGGCGTCTCGGCCATGCTGACAGCCAGCCCGCAGCCCCCCTCCACCCATCCCCAGGCCCCCGGAAGACGGCCGGGGTCCGAAAGGATGCCACGATGATGGATGGGCTGAGGGAGGCTCCAGGGCTGGCTTAAGAGCACACAGGATGTTAGTGCTCGTGTGAGGCTCATTTCTGAGCTGTTCCCAGCAACCCACCCCCACCTCCCCTCTCACCCTCCCCTCCCACAGCTTCTCCCACGGTCTCTGAAGCCGGAGCCCGGGCCCTGACCAGAACCACCCTCATCTTGCTCCCACAGCTGAGCTGAGCAGGGACTGGCCAGCTCAGGAAGCAATGGCCTGGGGGATGAGACTCAGAGGGAAGGAGGAGCTTGTGCGCAGAGAGAAAATGCCATTGTAAAGGCGGCATCTCGGTGCTTTCTCACCCTTGTCTTCTTTACTCCCCAAAGTGTGCCTGGCAGTTAGGGGGCTGTGCCCACAGCACAGATGTGGCTCCTGAGCGTCATTCAATCAGTGGTTCCACAGCTCTCCCTTCCTGAGCCCACTTTGCACCAGGCCCTGGGCAGGGCGGGGCAGGGTGGTTAGGGACCCGAAGATAAGCCTCGGCCCCCATTGCTTAACGGAGCAGTGTCCTCTGCGCTGGGTGCTGGGCACTGGGGCCTCCCTGGTCTTCCAGGGGCGTCACTACAGGAGGATCCCTTTTCCCTGTGGTGCACACAAGTAGTTGCATGTTGCTACCAAGAGCAGCCTTAGCAATCCTCCCATCCAGAGCCCAGAGCCCAGAGGAGTCAGATAGCCCCAAGTTCAAATCCAGCCTTGCTCCCTTTTTGCTAAATAGCTGTGGTCCACTCAGCCTCTCCAAGCCCGTTTTCCCTTCAGTGAAAGAGGGACAGCACAGCTGCCACCTAAAGGGGCTGGCTGGGAGGGTTAGTGAGGGTTTTCCACACCCTCATCCGGCACAGAGGCACGGAGGCAGGTTTAGGAAAGCCACGGCCAGGGTCACACCGTGAGCTGGAGGTGAAGCCAGGACCAGGTGGATGGGTTCCTTTCTCTCCATCCCTTGTCCCAATAAAACTCTCCCCACCTGGGCCACCACATGCAGCCCAGAGGTCACAGGGGGCAGATCGTACAAGTGACTGTGGGGACACATCCTGGGCACCACCCTCCACCCTCAGCCCTGCCCTGGCCCCTGCAGCCTCAGGGCCCCAGGTGACCAGCGGTGGCCCCTGGCCCTCGCTGGTGGGGAGGGTGGGGGAGCCAGCACAGGCTCCCAGCCCAGAGCGGCCTGGCCATATAAGGGAAGGAGCCAGGGAGGCCTCCTGGCTCCGGCAGGCAGGCGAGAAAACCCAGGCAGCCACTGTTTATTTTCTCCTTCCCAGCCTCCCTGGAGCTTCCCGACAGAAGACAGAGGTTCCCCCAGGCTGGGCGACGTTTCCTGAAGACTGTGGGGAGCAGAGAGGAGGAAAGGGCTCATCCTCTGGGAGCGGCCCCCCAGCCTGCCCACAGCTGACACCAGGTAAGAGGCTGAGGTCACCTACTCAGCTGCCTCCTTTGACAGAAGGGGAAACAGAACCGCAGGGAGGAGATGCACCTGTGACAAAGGACTGAGCCAGCTAGTGAGAGAACCTGAGTTTCCCAAGTGGCCCCTGCCTCCTGACTAGGGACCCAGAGCGAGAAGGAGCCTCTTGTGGGACAAAGCTCCTTCTCAGCGAGGTCTCTTTTGAAGGAGACCAGGGGTCAGGGCCAGTGCTGTCTGCCTGCCAGGCAGGTACACAAGCCTCAAGGGAAGAGTTCCAGGCACTAGACAGCCAGGTCCTCCTAGCCCACCACAGCACCTCCTCCTCCAGGAAGCCCTCCCAGTTTCCCCCAGGGGCGGGAACCTCTATGTCCTCTAAGCCCTTGGCGGTCCTTTCTCAGGCTCTCACATGCCACCCAGGTCTGCCCCTGATTGCCTTGCTGGGGGCATTGTCCTTCCACTTCTGGCTGAGTGCACTCCTCCAGGGCAAGGATCCCACCGAGGTTATTCCCGTCTTGTCCTCGGCATGTAGAAGGCAAACTCGGTTTGCAGAACGAACAGGTACAAGGTTTAGACCCCAAACGCAAAGGATCGGAAACTGGCCAGGGGAGAAGATGCTGAGCTTAGAGTTTAAAATGAGGGCCCTGGGGCTGGTTGTTCTGAGTTAGGAGTCCCAGCTCCCTGCCCCCGGAACATTCCCTTCCCACGGAGCCTTGGGGATGCACAGGAATCAGCACAATTAAAACCCTCATTAAATGACTGTTCTCAGCGCGGCCGCGCCAGAGTGCTTTTCCTAGATACAAAGGAACAGAACGGGCAGCCCGTAGCCACGGAGGAAATGGAGGTGAACCCCTCCCCTGAGCAGAGGCTGTGCCTGCAGCCCTGTCCCTGCGTCAGAGTGACTCCGCAGGACCATGGGGCTACCCCGTCCACTTCCTGTTCCTGCACCCAGGAGAGCTGCTACTCTCGCTGCGACGTTCTGAGTCCAGTGGGACCAGGGATGTGCTGGAAATAGCCCTCGGCTCGCCCCCCCCCCCACCCCAACACTCAGTTCCGGCTGGGCTGGCTCCTCCCCATCCCGGTCCTCCTCGCTGAGGCAAGGAGCTCACCTTGAAGGCCTGCCGCATCTGCCTGTTGTTCTGCCGGTCTCACAGCTGGGCAGGGTTCCCCAGGCTGCAGTCGCTCAGATGCCCTTTTTTAAAATTTTTGCCAGATCTGCAGACAATCGTATTTTAAATTTTAAGATGAATATTGTTCATACCTCACTGTCAAGAGTTCTGCAGAGGGAAACTGGAAAGCGGGCCCTGATTAGGAGAGGAGGAAGAACTCAGGCAGTGGGGTGAAAGAGTCACTTCTCTCGCGCTGGCCCCTTGGCCGGCCAGGCCCCGGGGCCGAGGCCGATGAGCAGGAGCCAGAAAAGTGTCAGAGACGAGCGAACACCCAGCTGAGGCTTTGTCCACACTGGGAGACAGGACTGCAAGGAGCTAGTGGGCGGACTCGAGCCACTGTCTTCCGAGGTTAGGCAGTGCCGAGGCCACAGACGCTCCGCCAGACCGCTCGCTCCCTGCAGCGCCCCCGGGAGGTCGAAGGCGGTTTTGGGGAAAGGGCTTTGGGGAAAAATTGAGCACCACAGAAGGCAGGGCTGACCTTATTGGCCTGGTTCCTGGGAACAGATGACCACTTTTTTGGAACAACCCTTCCTGACTCTTCACTGAAACCTCCACGTGAGTGGGGCAAGCGTCTTCTCCCGCAGGACTGGCAGGGGCGTCTGAGAGAGGAGTACGCGGGCTATGGGCCGCCCAGGCCTCCCGAGGCTCATCCTGATGTTGGAATCCCTCCCCAGCCAAACGCAGTCTGGAAGGAGCTCCCGCGGGAAGAGTCCCGTGTTAGAGGCAGGCAGTACTTTGCCTCAGGGGGCCAACGGGACTGACCTGCCCCTAGCGGTAAAGCAGGGGAAATACTCTTCACGTAGGGGCCTGAGTTCAGAGTCCTGCTAGAAGCATCGGACACACTTTAAGTTTTAAGGTTGTGTTTTTCTTGCTCACTCCCAGCCCCGAGGAAGGGTTGTCCACCCCCTTTCTCCCTTTAGACATCCCTGACAATGTATGTCATCTGACACCCAGGCCACCACAGTGGGCAACCAGAAAAGCAGGAGGGTGCTCTTGGGGAGCCCTGAGATCGTGGGGCAGCACAGGAGGAGTGCAGGGGGCTCTGCCAGCCCACTCGGATGTCCTCACCCAAGCCAGATCTGGAGAGGAAAAGGGATCACCTACAGGGCCCTCACTCACCAAATGGCATGCATTCCCTGGGCCCGTCAGCACGTACAAAGGCCTCAGCAAGGCCCAGGGACACCCCCAAATGAATAAGATGTAGGTGCTGTCCTCAGGGAACTGGGGGTGCAGCCCAGTCAGAGCCATGTGCAAACAGCCTGGGCACTAGTGAGAGAGAGGAAAGCCATCCGACCATCCATCAGTGCTTTGGGGGGGTCTGCGCTGCCCGGACCTGCTTTCGGTGGGAGTGCCGTTGACAAGGCCCCTTCCCTCAAGGGTGGGCTGTGCGGCCCATGAGTGGAAGTGGGCTTAAACGAGACCACAGTGATAAAGGGTTAGAAAAAGGGCACAGGGTGTTTGAGGACCTGACCAGGGTATCCTGACACCCCAGAAGGCCAAGAGGCGCATCCCCGAGGAAGCGGCCGTTGAGCAGACACCAAACCCATGAAGAGGAGACCGGCAGGGGAGCAGCGCAGCCCCCGGGAGCCAGAGGCGGCGGGTGTGGCCTCCCTGGAGGAGTGTCCGAGAGGAAGAGGCCAGCAGTGGCCAAATGGGGCAGGTGCTGAGGCCTTTGGTGAGGGTTTCAGAATCCAGCCCGAGGGCAGCGGGAGCCCTTTCAGGAATTAAGGAGGGGAGCCACAGGACCCTATTGGCATGTTGAGAAATCACTCTGGGAGGGTGTCAGGGAAGGATGGGTGGGAAATCTGGTGTTCGGGGTAGTAGAGGCAGGGAGACACGGTAGGAGGCCACGGCAGATATTCGATTGTATAAAATATCAAATTCCATGACGGTGCTGTTTGGCTGGGAGACACAGAGCAGGGGGAGGGGAGTGGCGTCAGCCTGTTGGAAGACTCCATTTACTGAAATGTGCAGAACTGGCCGCTCTGGAGACAGGATGCGGCCGGCCCAGGGCTGGGGCTGACGGGACGGGAGGGGTGACGCGGTGGCAGGTCTCTCTTTGGAGGGAGGAAATATCTTAAAATTGACGGTGGCGATGGTGGCTCAACCCTGTGAATGTATTAAAATCCCATTTCATTGTGCACTCTAAAGGGATGAGGGGACCTTCTTGCCACAAAGCTCTTTGAAAAATAAAATGAAAGGGGAGTCGAGGCTTGGTCCCAGAGGGCTCCAATGCCTGGTGGAGGGTGGGGCACACAGGCGGGGCAGGCGGTGGAGCCCAGGCCCCTCCCCTGCCCCTCTCCCGTGGAGGCCGGACTCCCTGCTGCCGCGGCCAGGCACCCTGTCCCCCAGCCTGAGGTGCAGTGCTGCATCTCTGGTCAGTTGGGAGTCTGAGATGAAGCACTGTAGCTCAGGAAGGGAGAAATTGTTCTGCCACCTCCTCCTGGAAGTGCTAAGTGGGGAGCGGGGGTGGGGGGGGGCACCAAGAAGGACGGGATGTTTCCACTCTCCGTGCTGTCAGCTGCTTGTGCTGAGGAAGTTTCCAGGCTCAGATCCGACCCACATCACCCATGCTTCGTGAGTCTGGGCAAGTCCTGAGTCCTCCGGGTGCTGTGGCCTGTCCACCTGTCAGATGTGGTGCTGGAGCCTTCCGGGGGGTGCCTGGCAGGCACCCTGCCTCTGCCCCCGGGCAGGCACTGCTCATCTGCTCAGGGGTCTGTCCCTGAAGCGCTTCCACGCAGCTCCCGAACGCTTCTCAACACGAAGTCCTGTGAGTGACTCGGCACTGAAACCCACTCATCGTTTGTGGCTTGCACCAAATCTTTCAATCCTCTTCACCCGAAGAGCTCCTACCTCGATGCAGGCTACAGCCTGACCCAGTCCACTCGTCTCACATGTCTGATGTCTCTTAGGGGCTTCAGACAAGCAAGGAGCAACCAAGGATAATCCCTGGGCTAAGCACAGTTTTATGTGCCCTCCCAGCAAGCTTGGAAGGTGGCAATGTTATTGACCCATTTACTAACGAGAAAACTGAGGCTCAGTTAAGTAACTTGCCCAAGGTCACACACATTGTGTTGGGTCAAGGTTGTAGCCTAATCTCCCTGCTTTCAGATCTGTATCCCTGCCCACTGCTGGGGACAGGGGACCAGCTGGTGAACATAATAACTCCTGCTCTGCTCTTACCCTTACACGTTGGGTCACGTTTAGCAAAGACAGACCCAGAAACTTTCCCTCGATCCTATTGACCGCCTTCTTCCTCCCCTCCCCTCCCTCCCCTCCCCTCCCCCAGGGTATATGTATCTCCCCCAGTCCAGCAGCCCCTGCTCTATCCCACTTCACAACTGAAGAAAGTCGAGGTTAAGTGCCTCGCTGCTGCAGGCCACCAGCAAGGAAGCTGCCCAGCAGAGCCCAGGCCCCAGATGGGCCTCATGGGTTTAGAGTGAAACCCTCCCTGTGGCTGGAGACTCAGGAATGCGCACAACTCATGGCTGTTGCGGGAAAGGGGGCAGGGTTGCGGCTGGTCGCTGCTCAAGGAGGTAGCCTTTGACCACCCGGAAAGTACCCTCCAGGGCACTTGAAGTTCCAGTCACTACGCCTCCTGGAGCCACATCCTGCGATCCGCGCACGCCCACGCTGGCTTCTGCAGACGGGCTGCGCGCAGAAGAAAATTCCAGCCGGCCCATAGGGACGTGCCAGGGCCCTGGTGCTGAAGGCCGCGCGCTCACCTTGTCCTCACGGTCCAGTTTTCCCAGGAATCCCTTGGATGCTAAGATGGGGATTCCTGGAAATACTGTTCTTGAGGTCATGGTTTCACAGCTGGATCCGCCTCCTCCCACCCCGGAGCTGTCCCCGTGGGGCTCGGCGCAAGCACCACTCGCGGGTCAACTGGCCGGCCGTGCACTGGAGGTAAGAGGGCTTGGGGACTGCGTTGACCTTTAAGTTGCTTTTCTTTCCATTTTGTCCATTTCATAACATCCCTGAGAGGCTGGATGTGGGAGCTTCACCACTGTCGCCCTCGTGGGAAATTAGTCCCAGCTCTCGGCTGGGCCGGGGCTGGACAAGCACACCAGGAAGCACCGGGTTCTTCCCGTCTCCACCGACTCTCGCCCCGCTTCCCAGCATGCCACATGGTAGGGGCCACAGCATCCTATCTACATGATTGATAAACTCATAAATGCACACAAATTTATTGTAAAGCTTATGAAATCAGTTCAGTAAACTAAAAACCCTGTCTTACTTCAGTTTGGAATGCAGCCATAGAAAAATGAAAATTTGTTTCAAGGTAGAGCAGAGGAAGCTCGAAGCACCCCCTTGAGGGGATACCTGCCTCTACCCACTCCAGGGGCACGGCTCTCTACACACACCCTGCCTGCACGCACACACGTGCGCATGCGCGCACACGCACGCGGGCTGAGACTCCCTGTGCCCCAATCACCTTTGAGCCAGTGGAAGGTTCAGCACCATCCATCATCTCATTACCAGTGATGCCTCCTCGTACAGTTCCCTTTACTTCCACACCCTGGCTTCTCCTCATAGCTCCTTGAAGGTCAGGGTCATTGATGAGACTCAGAGAGGTGGAGTGAATGGCCCAAGGTCTCCCTGAGAGCAACAGGGAGAGCCAGGATACATTCTAAGTGCAGTAGCCCATGACAATGCCTTCGCCAAAAGTAAAAACTACAAGGCTGAAATAAGAAGACTCTTTCTGAACAGAACTAGGGCATGCTAATGACCGAATGCCAAAGACTGAGTGTGGCCCAGGTGCCAAACTAGAACTTTCTGCAAGCTCTTCCTGGTGCTTGCCATGGGGTTGGTAGAGACAGTGGGTGCTGGGGCCCCAGAATACTCACTTCGGGGCGCAACCCCGTATTCCCAGGGGGCTCCCACACGTGTCTCAAGCTGTCTTCTTAACAGGCCTCATCCACAGAGCCTGGAGCTAGCCTGACCATGAGGAAATGTGCCTTGGTCCTAATAATGACAACAATAATAATAATATCTTCCACTCGCTGACTACCTACATTTTTCCAGACAGTGTGCTAAACTCACTCACGAAGCTGGAATCAAATCAAGTCTGTGTTTATACTTTCCAGCCGCCCTTGCCCCCTCCCTCCCACCGGCCTGGGGGGCAGGGCTGCCTCTCCAGGACTTCCTCTGGGGGAAAGGGTCAAACACGTGGTGTCTCTGTGTTCTGTGACTACAATAAAGTGCTGGGCCCTTGACTTGCGTCCTGTTTCTTCCTGGGAACACGGCGTGGGGTGGGGAGGAGGCAGGGAAGAATCCGACGGCCCATCTGCAGTTTGTTGGGCTAATCACAAAGGAGCACAGACTGGGCAGCTCTGGGGGAAGAGGGAGAGCGCTCCTTTCTCAGAGTCCTGGAGGCTGGAAGGGGACGGCGACGGCATCTCAGGTTGATTTCTCCTGAGGTCACTCTCTTTGCCTGGTAGAGGGGCTGTCTTTTCCCTGGGTCTTCGCTCTGCTCCTGTCTGCGTCCTGACCCCTTCTCCTGAGGACGCCGGTCACGTTGGGTTAGGCCCCACACTGATAACCTCATTCCACCCTAGTTACCTCCTTCAAGACCCTGTCTCCACACACAGTCACTGCTCAGCCCATAACACAGCCCCCTAAGATGGCCCACGGGTGCCTTCACGTTCCCCCACACTTCACGTTCCCCCACACTTCAGGACCCACACTGCGGAAGTCAGTCGGAAGCCCCAGGAAGCTGCCGTGACACGGCTGGGGATGCCCCACTGCTGGGGGGTGGGGGGGGACTGGGGGTATTAGAAGAAGGAGGTAAGGCCCACTAGGGTGGGACCAAGACAAGAGCTGAGAAGCACTCGGGGCCTGGCCCACAGCTGCTCAGCTTTCGTCCCCAAGGTGTGACCAGCCAGGTTAAATAAGAAAGGGTCTGCAATCACACCCCGCATGGGTGTTAGGGTTCAGAGTGAGCTCTGGACTTTAGCAGAACCATAGGCATAATGGCCAATGCACGGGGCCATTTGAAACACAAGCACCCCACTTTAGGCGTGACCATCTAAGTTTCAAGAAAAAAAATAATAAATCTGACAACCTCTTACACAATGATAATGGGAGGCACAGGGGCTCCCCACATCTCTCCTTTGCACCCCAGAACCAGCTCAGAGGAAGGCCTGTGAGCCTGCACTTCACAGCTGAGGAGCCCGAGGTCCCGCGAGGGTAGCGCTGTGAGGACAGACTCCTTCACACACACTAGTGTGCACGTCTGCACTGCCCTTGCAAAATTTTAGTGTGGAGACCATTTCTCAGCGCAGCCCTTAAGTAATTAACAGTTTCAAACACATCCCTAAATGCTCCGTCTTGTGGGGAGAAGGAACTGGCACCCTCCCCCCACTCCCGTGACAAGTCCAGGGACAGATCCACAGGACTGGGCCTGGGTTCTTCAGGCAGTGAGGAAGGCCTGCACCAGATCCCTCCTGAGAGAGTGGCCGCTTGGGACAGTGGCAACAGGGACAAGGCTTGCGCCAGGGAGAGAGTGCCCTCTTGTGGCCAATCCTGGAAAAACATGCTTCCTTGCTTACAAGGACTTTCCAGGATCATTACTAATGTTATTAGTAATCATTATCTAACACATTTGCATAGGATTGTGTGTCTCAAAAAGCACTTTCTACCTCATGACCAAATATAATCCTTGCGATGAGGTGCATATTGTCACCATATGTTTTCAGAGGCCCAGCCAGTTTAAGCGATACTTACTAAAATAACAGTAGCAATAATAGCACCTATGATTTATTGGGCCCTTACTCTGTACCTGGCACTTTGAGTTTGTTTTGTACATATGACCTGATCTGTGAGATTCATGGTGGTCCTCATGGAATGGATGGAGAACGGTTCAGAGCCTTAGACACGTGCCTGGGGTCCCCTAACTGCTAAGTAGCTACATCAGGCAGCAAGCACAGCCCCGCGGCCGGCCAACCATCCCCCACGCGAGTTCGGAGCCAGCGGCGTCCAATCTGAGCCTTGGAGCCCACAGTCCCTCTGCAGGGGCCGTCTCTTGCCCCTCCAGAGGTTTTTTCTTGCTTCAAGGAGAAAGCCTCCTAGGCTCCTGGAGAGCTGCCTACCTCAGAGGGCACAGCAGGAAGGGTGCCCTGGAATTGCTGTCGGATGTGGTCTGACGATCCAGATATAGGCTGTGAAATGGGATGCTCTGGTCCCGGAGCAACAGGCCTGGAAAAATGCTGCTGACCGCGAGGAAGCCCAAGGGAGGCCAGAGGAGGACAGTCCGGCCTGTAGGAGATTACACAGCTCCAGCACTCCCGCGGGCCCGGCTGGCAGCCTGTGCGAGCCAAGGTCATTGCTGCGAAAGGGCAGCAAC